CGTGTTTCATGGTGCGCGTATTTGCAACTAGTCATGTCCTCTGCAAGCGCATGTCTTTGCTCATCGCGCGCGCTAAATCTTGTTATGTATGATTTGTACGCGCAGTTCCGTATGTGTCTTTGTTTACGTCACAATAGAAAGTATTCACGAGTAAACATTACACACAGTTAAATACTAGTAAAAGCCGTCGCTAAATCACTGACACTGGGCGCGGATAAGCATCGGGTACTGATGCGGTGGAGCAACGAGTAGATCTAACTAGTTGCAAAAACTTGCATGATTTGCATTCATTGAAATTATAATTGTGAGCACAATACCTTTCATTTTCACTGCCATATTTTCTGTTCGCCTACTCCAGATATGCGTATCTCATTCCACAACCATGAAAGTGGTGAATAAATTCAATTCAATTCAATTCAACCTCCACCAAATAAAATAAAAATATTCCCAAGATCGTCGCTTCAGAAAACACGCACGCGATCAGATTCTTTCATTTGCCCTATCAGTATCACTGACAAGACTGCCGTAAGAAGGGTCTCCACCCCTAAAAAAGAAAACGTCCAATCATGGACATTCTTGCCTACTGGTCACGCGTAAAAGTTGCCAGGTGGACTAGTAACCAAGGTTACCAAAACACGCGTAAATAAACATTTTCAGTCGACGGCATTGGATGATTGATAAATAATAAAATCTGTAAAAATGGCATGGATCAATTACTGAGAGTGTGGATTAGACCAGAGTCGAATTAACAGGAAAACATGTAGGAGAGAGAGAGATAATTGAGAGGGAGGTAGTGTTGAGCTGGAGATAGATGAAGATATTATTCGAGAAGGAAAGGAGTTATGATCGAGGTCAGGATGGGAAAAAAAACAAATAAAATGGATAATTATCTACTTAACAGGGTTGACTAAATATAAGTAGGCAAGACACCAATACGTTAGTCTATTTTTCGTACACCTTTCTACTTCCACTCCTTATTCATCGACACTAGACGAAAACGTTCATGGGTGGAGAAATGTGACAAAGAAGAGGGTGAGAGCATGGACCTACGTATTTGGAGAGCAAGAGAGACGAGAGGAAATCCCACTAGTATCTTCACGAGGGGGGGGGGGGGGACTACACATAATAGAGAGAGAGAGAAAGAAAAATGTTTGATGGGAGCGCAGGCTAGCGAAATCATACTATAAGGGAGACATTTACGTACATTTACTTTTGAGAAATAAACAGTAGGATTATGTCTGCCACATGCGTTGAGAGCTGGCTCCCCTCGGCTGACACATCGTAAATAACAAAGATAACATTCAATGACATTTTTAACCGAAGATTGAAAACTAGGTCATTCACACCTCTTTTTCTTTTTATCATTTATTATTACTTTGTACGATGGCGATGTTAAAAAATAGGATGTTGGAAAGGAAGAAAAAAAGTTGGATCGTAGATTAAATGACATTGATTTGCAAAACTGGAACGATGAAGTTCATGAAGTTCATGTTTCAATTACAGAATTTTTAAACAGGTAATCGGTTTGGAAGAATATATGTTAAAGTTGGATTTCAGTGATAGAACATCTCTTTATAAATATCGATGTGGTAATAGTAAGCTGCCCTGCCGTCTGCACCTGACCGTCACTAAAGTCAGCCTCTAGAAATTGTAGAATTGTGTTCCATATGTGATCTCAAAGTACAAGATGATGCATTTCATTATGTACTCGTATGTCCAGCCTTTGGCTTTGATTAACATTCGCAATTATTTGTTAAGAGATAGTTAGTCAATTTAAGATTAAGAATTAAAACAAACCTTTCAACCTTTTAGATTCATTTTGCTGCTTCGCATTAGAATATGATATAGATTTTATTTTTAAAAGCAGACCCGTATCACTATCATTCGCGAAGTTGTGTTTTATTTTTGTGGACATTTTTTACAATAATAGCTCCTGTTCTAGTCCCTCTAACGTTTATTCGCGCTAATAATATTTATAATTAATTTGCCTGATGTTGCATTCAATTCATTTATGGTTTGCTGCTTCGCAATCGGATATAAAATAAATGATAATTTTAAAAGCAAACTCGTATCATTGGCGACGCAGGGGGGGGGGGGGGGGTGGAGGGGAGAAGAAAAGAAAAGGAAGGAGGGGAAAAGGAAGAAGAGTAAATCTAAAAATAAAATCAAATAGACAGACGAAACAAGCAGAGAACTTCATCAATCGGAAATTCTAATTTTTTTCGCCAATGAATTGAATGTTTAAATGACAAGAGAGCTTGCGTACATTTCATATTGTGTTTCAAGTGTTTCTGAACAATGAGTTTGGAGTCAAGGTGTCTGGCAGCATGTGGTTATCTCAGAAGTTAGTATAAACAGATCATGTTCGCGCCGTAAGATCACGTGATCATAGTAGTGATGATTGAACCTTCGAGAGAAAACTATAAGCGCGTGCATTTTTTTAAATCTTTACCTCATCATCTTTTCTGTTTTTTATTTCTTTGTTTTACCTTTTCTCGAAATATAAATATGTGTATGTATTCCCTTCGCTTGTTCCTTACGGTTCAAGGAGAATTACCCCCTTGCACAATCACCCCCCTTTGTTTAATTCCTTGTTTTTCTTGCTATCAATTCGATCAATCATTTTTTTGTTGTTTATCCTTATTTCTTACCATATGTAGATCTTTGTTAAGCCGTTATTATTTATTGTTATTATTATCATTATTAATCATTCTTCTGGTTTATTCCTTCGTAAATGTGTTTTAATACTTTGTTTTTCTTAGATTTCTTTCTATCATTTTATATTTTGTCCTCAATCCTCGTGTATTTCTTTGTTATTTCCTTATGTATTACTCCAATTTTGATTACGGGAGCTTGCCAACCCAGGTATGTGTACATGTATTTAGCTTGCATGCAAACTGAATGTCATAAACTGGAGATCGAGATCGAGGGGTTTTCCAATTCCGGGAATCCCTGAGCGCGCGCACTACATATCAAATTTCAACTACTTTGTGGACCACGAGGTACATTGGCTGATCGAGATCGCGTTGCTTTTGTTTTTGATAATACTGGTTTATGAAAATGCCGTTTGCGGTCTGTGGCAAAATTTGTAATGTGTAGGGACAGGGTCAACCGATTGGTATTATGAATGAATAAAATTATTATATTTTTTTTATTATTTGGAGTTACGGATCCTTTATTTATTCTGTTAATTTTCAATTCTCTATCTCTCTTAATTATCTTTGTCTGATATATTTCACTCTTCACTCCCTTCCCTCTTTCTTTTCTGTCCCTGTCACGCTAACGGTAACGGTACCTCTCCGCCTCTTCTCTCCTCTTCCCTTAATTATTCACGCCTTCCTGAAAATCTCACAACATACACATAATTCTTCTAGAAATAACAGCCGCATTTATCCATAAATTCTAAGATTCTACCCACATATTAGATCTGATATGTACATGTAATGATGAATACTCTCGATTAGACAGAAATAACCGTCTGATATGGGTCATTACTCTTTGATAAATCTTACATTTGTCAACATTCCTCATACACAGACGGTGACCCTTACGGCTCGCACGACGGGGGGGGGGGGGGGTGAGCCTTTCTTTTCTTCCCGTTTTTCCTTATTTAGATCTAATTTTCCGATCAATAAATCGGACATAAGAAAGTATGTATATTTCTTAAAATTTTTACAATTTTAATCAAGTAATTGCAATGGCGAAATTTAGGCGAATTAGATCACGCGTTTATGAATATCAAAATATCACCGGGTCAAGCCGTGCTGACTCGTACGCACATGTAGGTATCGGACGTCCGGAAAAAAAAGAGCATTCATTAACTCAAATCAAGATCGCTGCACAACAAATAATGTTAACGACAAGTCTTTCTCGGATTAAACATAAGCGGAATAGCCGTCGATATTAGAGACTGAAGCTTTCGGTCTAACTCTTGATATACTCTCGGATCTCCTCTGCCATGATATGAGCTTTCCCAAACATTCCTCCCCCCCCCCCCCCCTCAAATAAAAAAAAGATGTCGTATCGTGGGAAAGGCCAATTAGACACCTGGTTCTTGGTTTCTGCACTTCTCTCATCGGATAACTTTTCTCTCCGCATGCGCAATCCCAAACATTCCCCGTAGCACATTGTCTCGTGTATTTATGCATGGAATGAAAAGAGCATTCATTCACGCTTTTGTGATGTAATAATCAAGTGATTGTGACGTCAGTGGCAAGCGCGCATCGGTATGTTTGAGGATGCGCAGGCTCAGCAAGCGTATAAATACAGCATGCTGTGCGCAGTTCTATCGTGATAATAACAAACTAAAAGGAAATATCACGATATGCATCGGGGATTTAGCGAGTTGATCAAGTTGAGGAAAAAAATCATGATAGAGATGAATACAAATCACGATGTTTCTCACGATAAAAACACGATAAAACCCGTCTACAATCACGCTAACCTCCTATCGTGAAACACGATCCCGCATGCCCAATAACTTCTGGGCGGTATTGTATATCATGTACATGTATGTCCTATCTGTGAAATTTAAACATTAGCAGTGTCCTACATGTAGTATTCAAATTATGCAAGGAAACCCGTTTACCTTCAAGACTTTACTGTCAGACACTATTGAGTGACTGACTGACATCTTTTTTTTCTTTGATAATAAGAACATAAAATAAATTGTGCATGAGCATTTGTCTCAATCAATAACATTACCGGTAATGGCCAAAATTTAACTGATTCAATGTTTGTGCAGCACAAAACGTACGACCATTCAGTAAAAGGGTCTGAAAATCAGACTATTACTTAGGTGATTGCAATCACTTAAGTCAATTCAACAACTAAGTCAATTCAACAACTAATGGTCATTATTTTCCCACTAAAAACCATTTTCAAGCCCTTTCGTTTGGAGGGAAGTTCTAAATTAATATTATCTTTCAAATGCCGTAGGAATTTAACCTTTTCATTATGTGGGCCTGCAAATGGGACATAGTACCTTTAAATCAACTTACCTCAACTTCTATGTTTGCAGCGTAAGGATTGAAGCCTGGTAGCAGATTGTTCTCTGGGTCATCATTAGGGTAGTATGTAGTGGTAAAACAATCATCACATGTACTTGTACCATATGTATCAAAGCGGGTAGGATGGGTCCTGTCATAATAACAATAATAATAATAATAATCTGGATTTATATAGCGCTTAATACTGAATACCGTCTCTAAGCGCTTCAAAAATATTATTACCTTTATTCACGCACAATGTGCACCATCTCCACTCTCTGGGGAGTATTCCTACCATATGGTCACCGTAAAGGCATATTGGCAACTACTATTCAAACACAAATGCTTTCTTCTTCCTACCGGGTTCCCATTTCTATATTTGGTATTGAGTAGCAAATATAAATTAATGCCTTGCCAAAGGACAGTAGTGCCATGTTGGGGATCAAACCCATGACCTTTGAATTTCAAGCTAAGTGCTTAAAACCAATCGACTACGACACTTCTTGACTACCGGTAGACAAATCAAAAGACGGTCTAATGCGAGTAGATACATGTACATGTATTCTAGAGTTCAAGTATTAAGGGACAAAAATCAATTCACAAATTCAAAAAAAGATAACGTAAAACTGAGTAATATGGACAGAATATGAGGAATATTTTGCAATAACCATATTCACATTGTTGCTGTTTAGTGCATATTTCAGCAAGTTTGGAGGATATCTTTTTTAACAAACAGTGTACATGTATTGGTAATTTGACAACTCTGTATTGAACAAGGAGTTGTTCTTTCTTACAATTCAGAAACACTTGAAGATTCAATTGCATTAAAGGAGCCAGATATTATTATTTCTGACATCTAGCTAATGAGTTACCAAATCAAAAAAAAGAAAAAAGTTAATTCACAAGTAAATATGTCATTACTTTTTAATATTAAAGGGGAAGTCCACCCTGAAATTAAGTTAGTTTTAATAGGAGTAGAAAAATGAGAGAAAAGAGTCAGTGAAAGTTTGAGCAAATTCCGATTAAAAATAAGGAAGTTAGGATTTTTGAAGTTGTGATCAATCAAACACAAATTGGCAACTCTATGACGTATCATGCGAGCTCAACTTCCATTTGCTCAGTACTAAAAAAATCTAAAATTTTCATTTTCCCTCAAGAAAAATTTCAACCATACATGCACCCTAAATATAATAATTGCAAATATGTTTCTATACTCCCCCTGCAAGGAACAAATATATATTCTGTCATCAATAACGAAGAAAACATGATTTTATGGAATATTATGCACAAAGCAAATGAAGGAGAGCTCGTATAATAAGTCACAGAGTTGCCAATTTGTATTTGATTGATCACAACTTCAATAATTCATAACTTTCTTATTTTCATTCAGAATTTGCTCAAACTTTCACTCACCTGATTTTCTTATTATTCTGCCTCTATCGAAACAAACTTATTTTGGGGGTGGACTTTCCCTTTAAAGATTGTTTAGGAAAATGCAAGTATTGTACATACATGTACACTGTACTTTTTACATAAACCCCTGTGAAGCTCAAAAATTTATCAGAGAGATCGACACAGATATTTTTCTCATCAAAGTACTCCATTTGACTTGGGGGTGTTTCACAAAGATCTTAAGTTGAACTTATCTCTAAGTTGGACTTAACAAAACCGTTATCACCTTTGAAAATATTTTGTACAAGTTATTTCAAACAACATAACATGTTGATTCAAATAATTCATAATTTCAATGATGATGGGAGATTTCATGTTCTTGATGTAGAATTTATGAACAGTCTAAAATACTTGAATATTTGCATTTTATACTTTATTTTAAGGCTACAAATGGCACTCCATAATTTCTAAGTTCAACTTAGAAGCTTTGTGAAACACCCCCCCCCCCCCACACCCCCCAGTTCCCATGTCTCAAACATCATTAAAATAAACCTTACCTGTTTGGTCTGGACAGTTGGACTTGGTATTTCTTGGTGTAAACCTTAAATCCTCCTGCACTACCCCAGGCATTTTTTATGCTTGATATTATCTGTTCGCTATTGGGAGAGCCCGCATAATGAGGCCCCTGTGTGTATCGCCTGGATAAGAACAAAACATATTTAATTGTTATAATGATATGCAGTTCTTACAGTTCATTTTACACAATATGTATGTATTTTCAGTAAAACTAAAGGCTCGATACATGTACATCTGAAGTAACAAGAAAAATAATAAGACAATTATCCTTTTATACAATTGAAAGTTTTCCAAATACCCTTCAACTGTTCTTAAGGCTTGCTCAGATATGGTGTGGTAAAGAGCCACACAAAAATGAAAAGAAAAATCAGCCGCGCTTCCATCAACATGTCTGGGGAAAGCAATTTCATATTAATCATGAAAATTGTTCCTGACGTTGCTAAGTTTCAAACTCGTTACACAAGATTGACATCATCATGTTTGAATTAACCATCTGTCATTTCTTGTGCCTGACATGCATTAAGAAGGCACTTATACTTTTAATATTTTTCCTCTGACACTGTCTATGTAGAGTGGTGATTGTGAGGGAGTTAAAGGGAAAGTCCACCCCCAAAATAAGTTTGTTTCGATAGAGGCAGAATAATAAGAAAATCAGGTGAGTGAAAGTTTGAGCAAATTCTGAATGAAAATAAGAAAGTTATGAATTATTGAAGTTGTGATCAATCAAATACAAATTGGCAACTCTGTGACTTATTATACGAGCTCTCCTTCATTTGCTTTGTGCATAATATTCCATAAAATCATGTTTTCTTCGTTATTGATGACGGAATATATATTTGTTCCTTGCAGGGGGAGTATAGAAACATATTTGCAATTATTATATTTAGGGTGCATGTATGGTTGAAATTTTTCTTGAGGGAAAAATGAAAATTTTAGATTTTTTTAGTACTGAGCAAAATGGAAGTTGAGCTCGCATGATACGTCATAGAGTTGCCAATTTGTGTTTGATTGATCACAACTTCAAAAATCCTAACTTCCTTATTTTTAATCGGAATTTGCTCAAACTTTCACTGACTTGTTTCTCTCATTTTTCTACTCCTATTAAAACTAACTTAATTTCAGGGTGGACTTCCCCTTTAAAGAATTTTCTCCTTCTTTCTCTCTTACATCACAATAAAGCATTCCATTGAAGAGAAGGTCGAGTTCTGGGAAGAGTTGACAAATAATCTGTGAGCATTATCATTGTATTATGCAAGTGTGGAAGAACATCAGAGACAAAATGTTCCCTGAAAAGCATGGCTCTTCAAATGCCTTAAACTGGGCCAAATTGCCAAGAACCTTGCAGTACACACCAATACTTATATTCTGAGATGATCTGAAACTTTTTCTGATCAATTTCACACCATTTCTTTCACAATGCAATCGCATGACCAGAACTCAACTTTATCTTTAGGTTATAATGAAATTGTTGTATTATAAATCCTTTGCTCTAGAATGCCATGAACCACACATCATACATATGTCCTTGAGCAGAAAGAACAAAAATCTTTGTAAAATTTGAATCTATTTCGGTTGCAACACATTACAGTACATGCAGTATACCATTTCTGAATGAAACCACATTAAGTGAAATATGCATTTACATACAAGTACAGTATATGTAAGTCTAAGTTGCAACAAATTTGTTTACCGGTAATTGCCATTTCAACTTGGAATTTAGTCTTTTTTCTGTATTTTGTACTTTCCAAAATTCTAACCATAAAATATAACTTTGAACCCATTGTGAAATTAGATCATTACACACATTGTCCTTCATTTGCTTAACAATTTTAAAATTAAAAAAACTTACTTTAGATATGAATCCAACGTATCCTTGCTGATAAGGGTATGTAGGATGTTACTGTAATTACTATGAGGGGCTGGTTCCGTCGGAGTTGGCACCGATACAGTGTGGGTCTCATTTTGCGTTTGCGTTTCGCAGTGCTCCACGACCGCATAGTGCAAAAAATGTCCAATCACAATCCCGACGAAGAAAAGGCACAAGGCGAAAGCGATAAGGCCAATAGTCTTCCTGTGTTCGCTGCACCACCTCCTAAAGGCTGGCCACCGACCGTAGCCACTGTAGTTGTCGCGAATCTTCAGATCTAGCCTATCAATGTCCATTTCTTCCGCAAAGCGGGTGTACGCAGCTCCACCTCCGTCGATCGCCATGGTGATGTGTTAACAAGAAATCTAGAGGAAATTGAAATGAAGCAAAATGGATGACTTTTCTACACGATCTTTCAATTCAGTTCAATTCAATTCATTTTATTTCCATTTCTGGTAAAAAAAAACATTCAACAACACAATATTAAAGCAAATATATAAATAATACAAAGAATATAGAGGAGCCAGCAGAGGCCATTGGCCTTTCAAAGGCTGGGCTTTGATGTCCGGAGATAATTTTACAAAGTAAAGAGAAAAGAAACAATGGGTAGTAAATAAATAAATAAATAATACATCCATACATGTAATGACGCATTTAATAGTGCCTGTGCCTTCTTACACGACTGATGAACAGGCAGATGACTTCACTGAACACACATGTACACAAGAATTTGACTCACAAAATAGTCTCCGGGTTCAATGACTACATGTAGCCATATCAGATGTTATCCGGTTAGTGCAATACACAACTACAAGTATAAAGGACAAATTCTCATGAAAAGCTTTTATAGTTGGCCTCAAAATGCTACAATATCATAAAAAACGCAACAAATAAATATAATGGCGAAAGCTCCAGTTGGCCTCAATATACTACAATGATACCATACACTGCTACAATCGTGAAAAGCCTTGGTTCGAGTCGAAACGCCTAGCCCGCACTCTCGTCACAATACACCTGTTTACACGATCCTCATATAAGCAAACGACACACAAACAGATGATACAAAGAACAACTGTTGTGACAAGAAACAACACAATGCCTCGATCTTCATGCGTATTATGATTGATATGTTACGTGTTGACTCAGCAAAAGCAGCTTGATTACTTTTTATTTTTGTTGTTGTCAGTTGTCAATTGTCATTGTTACAGAATCGAAGTCTTATTTTTGATATTGCTAGTTTTTTACATGTATATATCTAAAAGTGTTATCTATTGTGCCGAACATGTAAACATGAATATTCCAGCCAAGGCTGTCCTTCATGGAAAATTGTATTTGTATATGAATCATGTTTCTGCTCTAATAAAAACCATTTTTGAAATGAATTGAATTGTAAAGAGTATTTTGATGCAATGCCGAGTGCTCCTCGGTTGACTCGTCAACAACACAATAATGATAATAATAATAATAATAATGTATACATTTGTAAAGCGCAATAACTATGTGGATATATTCTACTGCGCTGCAAGAGCAATACATGTACATATATACAGTTTATAGTTAACTAAATTATTCTTTGTTGAGTACTGTACATATCGTTTACAAATTTAGTTGTAAACTGTACATGTACCTTGTGTAGCTTCTTGAAGTTCTTGCACAGTGGTTCTTTTACCCGACTCCTAAGAAAGCATAAATGCTTGTTAGTAAGCAACCAGAAGACCGATGGCTTTAGGTCCTCTCTGAGGGACCTGGTAATTTGGATTAATGCCTTACCAAAGGGCACTAGCGCATCGACTAGGTTTCAAACCTGGGTCGCCGGAATACAAGACCACTGCTCTACCGACTGAGCTATCGTGCATCCAGCTAAGGGATAATTTAGCCAAACATCGGAACGCACTTTGTAATAACTGTCCAAGCACACTTGCGTAAAAAATGTTCAAAGATTTTGTTTATCCGTTAACTGTACCGGTATATCGTAGATATGATTGTAAAGATGCTCGAGAATTCAACTGTTCGTGAAACACGTCGTATTAACGAATAGGAAGATTAAAGAGCGATAACGTAGAGTATACATGTAACGTGGAACAATGTATATTTAGTAGGAGACCAGCCTGTAGGTCCCGTGACCAATCTCGGGGAACAAAGGTTTGAAAGTGTTTTTGTGTTCCCTGATGAATACCGAACAATTTTGACTTGGGCTGCCCCCTTGAAAATCCCAGGCATTTTCGTGAGGGGTCAACAAAGGTCATACAGGGTTGAAATTCAAATATACTCCAATCGTGTCGATATGCATATCGAATTACTCGTCTGGTCATGAGGATTCAAAAAATGTATAGTTTGCTATACCTCCGACCTTAAATGAGGGCGCTATGGTCAAAAACGTTGAAAGGTCAACACACTTTTGACTGGTGGTCAAATTCACCAACACAGTGAACCTTATCAAATTTCACATCAAATTACTCGTCTGGTCATGAAGATTCCAAAAATGTATAGTTTGTTATACCTCCGACCTTAAATTAGGGCGCTATGGTCAAAAAGGTCAATGCACTTTAGACTGGTGGTCAAATTCACCAACACTTAACATTGTCTGATTCTAATGATTTTAGTGTCATATAATATGTTTTCTGACACGGCAAATTCAACTATACCACTTTCAAAAGTAAAAGTACTTACCTTGACCATGTACATTCAAAATGGCTGCTGTTTCGGTGACAAACATATATAACTTCTTATCCATGGGTTTGAGGGAAATTTCAAGGTTATGGCAACCACTTTTGGTTTTAAAAGTTGCTTAGTTGAATTTGTTATGTCAGAAAACATATTATTAGACACTAAAATCATTAGAATCGGACGTTGTTAACTGTGTTGGTGAATTTGACCACCAGTCTAAAGTGCATTGACCTTTTTGACCATAGCGCCCTCATTTAAGGTCAGAGGTATAACAAACTATACATTTTTGTAATCCTTATGACCAGGCGAGTAATTTGATATGAAATGTGATAAGGTTAACCGTGTTGGTGAATTTGACCACCAGTCAAAAGTGTGTTGACCTTTCAACGTTTTTGACCATGGCGCCCTCATTTAATGTCGGAGGTATAGCAAACTATACATTTTTTCAATCCTCATAACCAGACGAGTAGTTTGATATACATATCGACACGATTGGAAAATATTTGAATTTCTACCCTGTATGACCTTTGTTGACCCCTCACGAAAATGCCTGGGATTTTCAAGGGGGCAGCCCAAGTCAAAATTGTTCGGTATTCATCAGGGAACACAAAAACACTTTCAAACCTTTGTTCCCCGAGATTGGTCACGGGACCTACAGGCTGGTCTCCTACTAATTATGTAGCGATGAGTGAAACGAACATGAAATGAAAATTAATGAGTGAGTGGTTTGCTGTAAAGCAATAGAAATATTTTAACTCAACAATACGATGATTGATGTACTGTGTTGATAGCTCTGTCTCAGATCAGTAACTTTGTTAGTACCGGTATTCTTCTGTTGTGGTCACTGTTGTAAGAGTATTCATTGCCTAGTGCGCTTGGTTGACGCACTCATGACAATATGTAAACAGTTTTTTATGGTTTAAATGGCTCAATAAGTTTGATTGATAGTACATATAGCCGTATTTATTCAAAATTGCTTTTGATGATCAACTACATGTACATGTAACTGTTCACTTTGATGTGTATTCCATATGTATTGTAATTTGTAGGTTTATTTGCACTTTTTTGTTTTGTTTAATATGTAATTGTTTATCATTTTGTCTATTTTGTTTGTTATAGCGCTAAAGAGACTTTGGTGTTAAGCGCTTTATAAGTAACGTTTTTATTTATTTATTTATTTATATATATATATATATATATATACATATACGGTACACAACTAAATTATTCATACCCTTACCAAGTTTTGTAAAAATATATAAAGTAGGTGAAAAATTGATTTGTCAGGTTTTAAATTTCTTAAAAATGTGATATACACTGGATTAAAATTTACACTTGAAAATAGTCAACTAAGGCCCTAATGCAACCAATCCACCTTTCATTCTTGACTTATGAAAAACTTAAAAAAAACATCCAACTTACAAGGGGATATGATTACCGTAAATCTCTGTGTATAAGGCGCACCTGTGTATAAGGCGCATCCCCTTTTTGGGGAAGAAAAAAAAAAAAAAAAAAAAAAAAAGAAAGAAAAAAAATTGTTTTTGTTTTTTATTTGTTTGTTTCTTGTTGTTTTGTTGCCGAAAACCCACGCAGGGAAGGACCTTATTTAACATCGAGGTGCAGTTGAAGGCGATGATTTGCGCTTGTGAACTTGTCACAAATAATAGTAACAATGTTGTTTTTAGAAGAATGTGTAAGATCATTAATGTAAATTAAAAACAATAGAGTACCTATAGGAGAGAAACTTGTGGTACACCATTTGTTATAGAATTTTTTTTGGAAAAATTATTATTATAAAGTACATATAATATGTTTTTGATATTGAGATCTATTAGAAAGATTACTTTCAACCAAGATGACAAACAAATTTGAGTGTTGTTGTAGTTTCCGAGTGGTGAGTCAACACACAGATTACTGAGCTGGGAGACATTGCCAGGCATAGCGCCATAAATTGGAAAAAAAATAAAAAAATTCTGTACCTGTGTATAAGACGCACCCCCGAATTACTTTCAATTTTTTTCGGCGGCAAAAAAGTGCGCAGAGATTTACGGTATGAATAATTCAGTGGTTAACTGGGTACTTACAAGCATACACAGCTGGACATGAAAGAACTTACCAGAAATTTCTACCACAACCTGTGCCCATTTCTAATGTTGTTTGATGTCAGGTATTGTTTTAAGTAAATAAGCAGTAATTTGAAAAGCTCAAAATCAGCGATTCACCACACAAATTGAAAAATCTCAACTTTCAAAACATATTGAATACAATTTCTGTGCACAAACTTCTTTAGACACATTTTAATATCAACAAACAAACAAACACAAATTTTACTAACTTGACAAAGAAAATCTGATACATACAGGCGTATATACCTGCCTGTTGTTTAAAAAATTGTCATGAGCTGCAAAACTATTGTTTTTTTGCTGAAGCCACTATTGTAAATACAAATAAAAAAATCCTTTTTTCAGCTCCTTTTAGAATTTGATAACACAGATATTATTTAATGTCAATGTTTTCTTTTCAACATGCCTCATTTCTAATTCTCCATCTTTTCTAAATGTTCAAATTAGTAAAATATATAGTATTAACTTTTCACATACTGTATAACACTATAACAGGTAAAAAGCCAAGCCTTGTGCCTTTGGTGTCTGTGCCCTGCAGTATTACATGTACCAAGGAGTATGTGTAGTAACTCCTT